GTCTCGTTTCAAATTTTAAATTTTAATACATTTAATAATATTATTTTGTCAATTTTTGTTCTTCGTGATGAGCAGTTAGGATAAAATTTACTTCATTGTGTCTGTATGCCAAAAGGTAACATTTTTCAATGTGTTAACTTGGGTGAAAAATTTTCTTACGGTGTAAACAAATTTTAGATTTTGCTGTACAAAATGGAAAGTAAAATTTTGACAGTTGAAGTTCAAAACAAACGCCATTGTGTCGTTTGAATGTTTGCCTTGTTATTTAAATTATAAATATAATATATTTGTAAAAAGAATTAAATGAAAGGAAAATAATTTGCTTGATATTGATAACAATATTAATGAAACTAGAAAAAATACATTAATTTCAAGATTTGTTATAAATTGAGAACTTTAGGCAACCTAGTTGTTGTTTTTGTTGTAACGGTTATCTAGTCCCCGCCCCGTAGGAGTTTTACCTGCTACAGTATCAAGAACGAAGTTGAGGTTGTTGACTGTCGGAATTTTATTGCCATCGGCCCAAAGGTCTAGATCCAGTGTGTACTCCTTCGTCCAGTTTGTAAAAATGGTCGCTGTGGATTTAGTGGGGGAGACTGTCAGGCTCCTTGCAGAGAAGAAGCGAGAAAGGTTGGAGAGATAGGCGTTTATTTTTTAGCACATGCCATCGATTCCATTGCCCGACGTCATTATCGTGCAGTCATCAGCGTACGAGATCATGGGAATTCCCCCTGGTGGCTGGGGGAGTATCGAAATATAGAAATTAAACAGTAGTGGGGAGAGGACACCGCCATGTTTAATTCTTCTTAGTTTGGAGTTTTGACCTCGAAACAGTACGGATGAATGCCGACCGCTCAGGTAGTTCATAGTCCACCGTTTCAGCCCTGGAGGGAGCGTTGATTGTTCCAGGTCCTCAAGTAGCGTTGCGTGATTGACTGTGTCAAAAGCTTTTGACAAGTCCAACGCTACGAGGATCGTCCTCTCACAGGGTGGCTTCTGGTTCAGGCCATGAACTATCTGGGCGTTTATGACGCTAAGTGCTGTGGTGGTACTGTGCACTTTACGGAAGCCATGCTGATGGTCTGCTAGGCTCAGGTGGTGGGTGAATGACGGGAGTAACAAGGCCTCAAGTGTCTTCACTACTGGGGAAAGGAGAGTTATCGGCTCCCTTTGTTGGCGGGTTTTCCAGGTTTCAGCAGTGGGACCACTCTTCCGATTTTCCACACATCGGGTATTTGAAGAGTGGATATCGACAGGTTGAGGACCTTGGTGAGGTAGTTTACTCCCGTTGGGCCTAGATGTTTTAACATCAGCATGTTTATTCCCTCAGGGCCGATGGATTTAGACGATTTCGCCTTTTTGATGACACTCTGAACCTCCCCATCGGTGAAAGTAAGTGGTGCGCAGTCTTTTGGCATTTTGCGCAGCCGTCGGGTAACACATCGTTTGGCCTTGTCGGTCGAAGGGTGCAGTATAAACTGCCGGCTAAAGTAGCTCGCGCACTTCTTCGGGTCCGAGGAGGCATGGCCATCGAATTGAATTTCAACCCGATCGTCATGTTTCCTCGGATTTGACAGGGCCTTGACAGTAGTCCAAAGCTTACTCACACCGGTGGAGAGGTTGCAGGACTTCAGGTGCTCTATCCATTTTGTCCGCTTATGATGATTTAACATTTGCCGAATCTCCAAATTGGTGCGGTTATCCACAGAAATAAAGTCAGGAGGTTTCTCGATCGAGATAATTATGGGCAGATGGTCTGATGCAAGAGTTAGCATAGGTCGCCAGGTTATACTATTTATCAGACCACCGCTAGCGATGGTAATATCTGGCGAGCTATTACAGGTGCCCATAATTCTGGTGGGGGCTTCGTCGTTCATTGTGCAGAATGTCGACAATTCCCACAACAGCCGGTTCTGCGATACCGGAATTGACCCGGATTTTATCCGGCCAAGGGCTGTTATTTCGACGATCTAACCCTGTTTGGATCGGTAAGTTTTTTTTGACCTCCTCTCGCAGGGTGGCTTCTGGTTTAGGCCATGAACTATCTGGGCGTTTATGACGCTAAGTGCTGTGGTGAATGGTGCGACGCAACGTCCTAGTTGTTGTTGTTGTAGCGGCAGAATTCTGCCGAGTTGACAGTCCTTGGCCGGAATAAATCCGGGCTCGTTCCGGTTACGTAGACCTGACCGTCGTGGGAACGGACGCAACGTCCTAGTCTACTACGACGCTATTTGCATTCGGTACACATATGTAGAGAATTGTATATAGACACATATGTATATATTCATATATATAAAAATACATTTACATTAAGATCTTTTAATCAACTGCAACAATAATATTTTTACTTAATTCTTTCATCATAATTTAGATTTTGTAATATTTAGGCTAAATAATAAAAATTGAGCCAAGAGCTTGCCTTATTTAGAGTATCGTTTCTGTATTGAGTGGAATAATTTTACATTTTATATATTAGTGGCAACACAACAGCTGCCTATTGTTGTCGGCAAACTTATGCCGCATCTCCACAGGCAATATACAATACAATGTCAAATACATTGCCATTGTGGTTGGCAATGTTCTTATGAGGTTCTCGAAATGGCGTCGGGTAGGTATGTTCGAATTGATATATATAATTGATGACAAAAATTTAGATGGAGGTAGAAATATTCTATAAATATATTTTTTGGAAAAATAAGATCTAATATTTTAACATTGATATAATTGCTGCATTTATTTACCAATTCAATAATTAAATATTTGCAATGATTTTTACATATGGTAACAATTATCATTAAAATATCAACCAAAATGCATTTATTGATTTCTAAACATTAGCAGACTTCATTGGCAATATTGCTAGCAATGCAGATTTTTAGCAATCTTTTTTTGTCGAGATGCCGCACTTTTATTTGAACTGTCTTTGCTGCACAATCGGCAGTCCTTATATCGGAGAATGTATTTTACATTCTCTGCTTATATAGTAGATCACTTCAGAACAAAACTTCGGCACTAGATCATTCAGGCAACTACGAATTCGCTGTCTAGTTAATTCTCGCAATTTATTGTCTATTCGATTTTGTACTATCATCCGTGTTTGTCACAATATCTACAAACAACGAAGACAACACGTCATAACACATAATTGCACTGCATAGGTAAATGGCGGTTTAGAACTTATATTAATCTAAAAAATTATATCAAAGATACATCTTAGCAGTAAGTTTCAGCTTTCTGTTATTAAGCAGTAGAACAAAAAGGAAAATGGAAGCACTTTATCACCAAACCAACCGGATGATACAGGAGATCGAGCAGAGCTTTCAGAAATTGGCACAAACAAGTGGATTGGATACAGCAGATGTCGAAAATGAGATCCAAATGAAAATCACTGCCGTAATTTCGTAAGCGTTAAAAATAATAATACGCATGGTGTTCTTAAATACCTGCTTAATTTTTCTAGAAATTGCGACCGTCTTGATGTGTTACTTTACAAGGTACCGGCTTCTCAACGTCCTAGTGCTAAAATGCGTATCGACCAATTGAAATATGATACAAGACATTTACAGAGTTCGCTTCAACTTTACCGAGAAAAAAGACAGCGTCGTTTAATAGAACTCTCTGAACGTGAACAACTCCTTAGTCACCGCTTTTCTGCAAATAACACCGGTGCAACAGAAACTTGCCTTGATATTGATTATTCGTTGCAACATCATACTCAATTGAATAATGCTCATCAAGGCGTCGATGAAATGATTGCTTCTGGGGGAAACATACTTAGTAGTTTAATAAACCAACGAGAAACATTGAAAGGAGCACAGCAACGGTTGCATGCAATTGGTAGCACACTTGGTCTATCTAATCATACTATGAAATTAATTGAACGCCGTTTTGTTGAAGATAAATACGTAATGTTAGGTGGCATGTGTGTAACACTGCTTATTATTGGATTGGTAATTTATTTCATAGTATTTTGAGTTAAATTATTATATTTGTATTTTTTGACATTGTATTTTGTATTTAATTACTTATAAATATTATGTATAATATATGCGTATGTATATTCTAATATAAGTGAATTGAATGAAAAATGTTTCAAGTCTGAAATGTTGAGTTTGTATTATGGTAGCTGAATAAAACGATGGATTTTCAGAAAATAAATTTTTGACAGCGGATGTGTTTTCTACTAAGTGTTCCGAAAAAATCGCGGTTTTATCCTTAATCATCGGTGCCTAATTTTTTTATTAATATGACCACTCTTTTTAGCGGATATACTAGAATTGTTGGATAATTTATTTTTAGAACTAGTATTAGAACTAGGAGTATTAGGATCTTTCATAACATCACGCTGTGGAGTAGGTGTTCCTGCTCGATCGACTAGAAATTAATAATTACTAGTATCTATAGTTAATTTCAAAAGTAGTAAAGAGCATACCAGGTTTATCCTCTTTACCAGCGGTTTTTATCGATGAAGTGCCATCATGTGCTGTTGTGGTATTTTGGTTCATAGATATTTGATTATCACTGGAATCTTCATTAGTTATGGAATCTGATTCACTGGCACGTTCAGCTAATATGTTTTACAGTTAATAACATGTATTAATATATATATAGTTAAGACATATTTTTGAATCATTCTTATGCTTACGGTTACATATTGCCATAGATGTAATGCTTGACTTAGAAAAAAGACGCTCCGCTTCTTTGAATTTTCTATTTCGTTTATCTGCTTTGGAATTTGTAGCTTTGTTTGATGTGAGATATCGTTCCCAACCACGAATTATATTGCCACAAAGTTGTGTGTCTTCAAGATATGAACCTTCAAATGCATATATTTGTCGTTCTAAATTTGCTAGTTGCTCCTAAAAATTTTTAGATATGTATTTTATGTTCCTAATTTTAAAAAACTTGTAAGTATCATATAGAATTACCGATGTTTCTGCCTTTTTCTTAATTAGATCGGCTAATTCTGCGCGTGTATCCAAGCTTGTTGACTTGGCATTAGAATTCGTTTTAGATGATTTACGTTGTTTTGCAGCACTCACATCATTGGCACTTTTGCTTGTTGGGGAACTCATTTTAATTAAATAAATAATTATGCATTAAACTACAATAGTTATATTTTCGCAAAAAAATATGTTTATAAATGAAATTTTTATTTGTCAAACATGTATCAAAAAACAAAGCACGTTGCCACATAGGTTATTTTGCACGAGTATTTTTACATAAAATTTTTTCTAAATATTTTTATCTATGTCTGATAGATAACTTTATGTGATCAAAATTGTTACATGCTCAAATTACTTATCTTCATCTTCATCGCCAATTTGATTCAAACCTAAAAGCTGTCTCAGTTAAATTTTTTGTCAGTATTTTATTTTAATATTTAAGTAATTTCAGAATTAAAATTTACTGTTATATTCAATTAAATTAAATTTTGCACAGCCATTTCCACAAACACATTTATTAACTTTCTGTTGGTCTTGCAATTATATTATATAATCTATAATTATATAATATACATTCTCTGCTAATACAATTGCAAAATTTATATAATTATATAATCTACATTCTCTTATATTAGATACAAAATTTTGGACGAGAATAGTTCCTTGGACATGGCTGTAATTTTAATTATTTGAATCTTATTTTAATTGTATGGCAGCATAATATCATTATTATTCATTGATTTATTTTGCTTACCGGTTTTGTTTTCACTACATTGTTTTACTCATATTTTTCGCAAGTTTCAAAAGTGCAGAGTACAAGTTAAATTTTCAAAATAATTTTAGATATAACTATTACACTTATAATTTTGTGATTAAAATGGTTGAAAGAAACGTGTACGTCCCGAGAGTTAATCAGGTATTGTTTCAAAAGCTTAAAGCCCTTAAATATAATTTAACATGTTTTATTTGCATAGATTGATGCGATTCATTTAAATAAAGATATTACACGACTAATTCGCGATAATTTACTAGAAAACTTGCAAGCTATTTCAGTAAGTGGAATTACAATTGCACATTCAAATTACAACAAAAATATTTAAAATATATGTATACTCTTACAGCCTGCTTTATTTGCGAAGGTACAACCGGAATTGGACTTACTTGTTCAGTCAGCAATTTGGTTCGGCTCGATTGGTAAACAAGGCTCAACATTTGGTCAACAATTGCTTGTTCTTTCCTATGATTCAGAACGTCTAACTTTATCCCGACTATGTCTACATTTTGCATTAACGATTATTCCAAGCTATTTAAGAAATTTGGACGAACGCCGTTTAACTGTACATTATGAATGGTTACATAAAGCAATTGAATGGGGAGAAAATACGGCTCTTTTATGTTCTGTATTAAATTTCTTTCGCTTCTTGAAGACAGGTCGCAAGCCGACTATAGTTGACTTTTTACTTGACTTAGATTATATAAGTTTACGGCATAATCAAAGGCGTGACATAGGCTACAAGTACCTCACACGTGAATTATTGTGGGGTGGTTTTATGGTAATCAAATGTTTGCATACATGATTTATGTTTATTGATTTAATTCCTTTCTTCTCACATTTGCCTGTTTAGGAAATATTGGGACTCTTGCTCCCCGTAATTAACTTTAGAAAAATTTCAAGATTTTTAAACAATACTATTAAAAGTATGTATGTTAATACAAGAGAGGACAGACGTATGGCTAACAATGAGGAAAAAGTTGTGTTGAATTCGAATACTATTTGCAGTTATTGTGAAGAAAGACCAACGATACCACATCACATGAGTTGCGGTCATATCTACTGTTATTATTGTTTAGCTGCCAATATTTCTACTGATGCCAGTTTCAGTTGCACGAAATGTGGCACAAGTTCTACGAATGATATTCATGTGTTGTAGTCAAATTTATTTTTAATTACTTGAAATGAAAGACGTTAATAAGGAATTAAGTGAACACATTCCTCATAGCAGGCAAAACATGTATATACTTAGATTTTATATACGTTTATGTGTGTAGCTTTGGTATAAAATATCTATTAAGTTAAACCACTAGGAGCCTGTTTCGGAATTTTTGATGTCTTCAAAAAATAAAATAAGCTCTTACCTTTGTTTTTGGTTTTTTTTTTTATAAATCGGAATAAAAAATCTCTGGGGATGGAATTTATTCGTGTTCAAGCACAAATAAATATCAAATATTTTTTAAAAGTGAGTTAACTAAGGGTTACTTTCATAATTAGTAGATTATATTAACATATACGATTTCTGTTCGCTTGTATATGCAAAATTAACATATTTAAAACGATCAGTGAATCTTACCACTCGTTTTAAGATCCTTTTAAGATGTCAAATGTATTGATTACGGTACATATTTTAGATTCAGAAAAATACTAATCAGTTTATGTTACTATGTGAAACTAAATATATGTATGTATAATTTACGACTCAACACTTATAACCAATTCAATTCAACACTCATAATCATTTTTTATTAATCATTAATTATTTGACAGTTAAATATTCATAAACATAACAGTTGAGAGCTGTTGCACCTGCAATATATTAAGTAGGGCATATATGTATATACATATGTAGTTTCTATTTCTAACTGCACAAATACTCTAAATCATTGGGATTTTTTAACTACCAATGTTGACATATACAATTACACTGGAATAAAGTGATTAAAAATTTGTAAGTTTTGTTTCATTTACATAAAATCGTTTTGGAGGTACTTTCATTTGTTCGTATGTGGATGTTACCTTTTTGCAAACTTTAGTCTAGATTACATATCAGTGGGTAAGATGTCTGGTATTAAATGTTTGCACAAATCAATCTCATTATCCACAAAAATTACTTTCTTTGCTGTATTTTCATCGAGCCATTGTCTTATAACTGGCCATATGGTCGAAAATATACCAGGTGCGTTTATAATCAAACATACACCTAAACGTTCAGGGTAATGTTTACTTAGCAGCCATATCAAATTTTTCACCAACTGATAATCCATACATGCAGTACTGAACCCAGCTAAATCGAAAACAATGCATAAACTATCTACTACTTCTTCAAAGCATTTTTTACATGCTTCCTCCAAGCAGTATACTATGAACTTGGTCAGCTCGTCAATGTCACGGTCGTTGGAGTTGTGATTTTTTGCAGGTATATAAATGACTGGACGCCCAATGCAGTCACGGTGGCGTAAAACTCGCGCTTTGTTTCCATGTATTTTTATAGTATCTGAATCCCCCAGCGTGTTTACTCCATACTGTTCACGCCATTTGTTAGTTTTTAAAATAGCCTGTTTAATTGCAAATCATTTCGTATCAATACACGATTTTATTGATTTGGATCAAAAACTTACTTGAAAAGCGGAATCTACATTTTTGAAAGCTCGTAAGTATCTCTTCAATGAAAAATCGTTGTGATATTGTTTGGGATCTGCTTCAACTATTAGTTTCATACGATCCTTAAGATCTTGTAGATCATTTACATTAACAATGACTGATTCATCCTGCGACATGTTGAAAACTGATAATACCAACTATGTTAATGTCGTATCTGATAAGATTAAAAAAATGTCAGTTAAATTTGTTCATGCAATATGCCTTCCCTTAATTATTGCCGTGCATTGCAGCAGTGTGTAGTATTTCTAAAAGAAATGAGATGATTTAATGAATGAAGATATGAAGCAGAGAATATAGATTATTATATATTTTACATTCTCTGTATGAAGGTAGAAAATAGCGTTAAGGTAAGAGCTTTGTTTAGTAGACAAAAGGTTTGTTCTGAAATTATGATCTTTTACAAAACTTGAAAAGTTATGTCGTAATATTACCGTCATTGTTACTTATCAAACTGTAATTACTTTTAAATTTGTTAATGCATTTTTTATCTTTTTGAAAATCCCTTCTTAAAAAACAAAAAAAAAACATTTAAGAAATTTCAAATAAATATTTGGCAATTATATTAAATAAATAATTGAAAGAGCTGGCAACTCTAGGTTGCATGTAGGTATTATGCTAACAAAAACAACAACATAGACTTCATACATACTTAGTTCAAAAACAAATTTCAATAATATCCCTGTGTGTGCGCTAAAAATAAAAATAAAATAGTCAATCAACATTAAGGAAAATTGTATAATTTATTATAGTAGTGTGTTAAAGAGATAGTTATTGAAATAGAACGTGAAATAAAGCAACAAAAAGTAGGTAAATTGCTTTCTCGACATTTCTCAGAAATATAAAGATAAGCAAATACAAAAGTGTCACGACGGACACGAACGATGAAAGAAAATTTTAACATAAATAATATAAAGACAGAACCAACAATTACCAATAATATAATAAAAATCAAGAATGATAGAATACATTCTTGATAAAAATACTTCTTAAAAGCAATACATGCATATACCAGGGACGAAGTGTGTGTAACAGGAACTAACATACCTCACTGATAAAACCCTTCTTCTGTAATTCAATGATAACGAAGAGCTATGGAAACGTACTAAACCAATTAACAGACAAGAATAAAATGTATGGTAATAGGTAATCATTATGAAAATAATGTATGTACATACATATATAGATTTGATGGTTTTAATAACAAAAACTAGTGATTTAGAGCCTTCTATGAGCAACAGTAAAATAAGGAAACATTCCAAACATACTTTCAAGGTGAAAAATTTTATTCAAATACTTAAACATTGCACATCAATGTGTATGTATATTAAAGCTTTCGTAGAAATATGGACATACCATTCATGCTTATTTCGAGATATCTTGTTGTTTCTGGGATTTCCTTTGTTTTTGTTGGCTTTTGCGACTGTGCAAACTTACCATTACATTATACGAGTGTGGAACGCTTTTACGAATGAATGGTGAGTTACGGTTTTAGAGTTGCCTTTGCACAGGTAGTCGGGGAATCCGCATAGTATGAGTTGTGAGAAACAGGTAAAAAATTATTAATATACATAGTTCAATAGATTCAAACAATTTAAGTAAAGTTTATTCATGCTTGGTTTATTAAGTTAATGGATTTTCTCTGACTTGAGCGCACATTTTATACGAAGTAATATCTGATCTGGTGTTTTATTTTGGCAATTTTAATATATACAAGTGCAACCCTGTTTTTCATTTGCAGCTCCATTTGAACGCCTCGTGTTCGTCATCGGAGTAACATTTTTGATATTTTATATCAGAAAAAGAATCACAATTGAAAACAAATTGCAAACATCTGAATAAAGTGAATGTAATTTATATTACTAAGTACTATAATTGTGGAAATTTTGTATTTAGAACGTATACATTAAAAATTGGTAGATTGCAGACAGGAACGCAGGAGGCTGAAAGTTTTAAAAACTATTATCAAGAGGACGAAGAAATTATTACAGGCATAGCACTTTGTGATATCTGTTTTGTGAAATAATTGTAAATTTCTTTTTACGTTGCCTTGCGATAGGACTGTCAGTGCTAACGAAGAATAATAATTTCACATATAGTGGTTCACAACATATTAGCGAAATATAGTTGGATTTGTCTTTGTGTACTTCTCGAATTCATCGTCCAAATTTTTAGCAGCATTATAGCTGGAGTAACTATATTTTGCAAGATTGTGTACCATGGCAGACGTTACTGACGCCAGTGGTGTTTTCGACCTAGAGCTGCATGAGGAGGAAAACCCTCGAGATTCGGACGATGATAGGATCGAGTTGGATGATGTAAGTACTTTATTTGTTAATTTATCCAACTTTAATAAGACATTTCATTTAAGTATTACGTTGAAAAAATATTTCATATATAAAAAGCGTACATTTTCATATTCAATATAAATACATATGTATGTATATAACTTTGCATTTAGCATTCTGACCCTTTGTGGCCAATTTCATTTTAACCTATATAACACCGAGACAGTGCTATGAGGAAAGCGGTAAATTTACGGTCTTCTTGGCGATGCGATCTGATGGTATGGACGGATAGAGGAGGTTCCCAGGATTAAAAAAAGCATATATCCCCCTCAGACTTTAGTTTTGGATATTTGAATATAATGTTTAAAAATTGTTAAAGTAATGGGTTGGACCGACCCGCGTTATTATTTTTTTTAAATGATCGTTTCTACGACAGTCGGGTCTAAGTAATCGGAACGGACCCGGATTTATATCTGGCCAAGGACTGTCAACTCGGCACCATTCCTCGAAATTACTTCAGGAATGTTTTCCGCCGCTACAACAACAACAACAATATTTATTTTTTTGAATTTGTGATTGTGCCAAGTAATTTTTAAAGTACATTTATTCTTTAAAAACGTAGAATAAATAATTAAATGGGATATATTTCAACGAACACAGTGTAATTGCAAATATCCTAATTGAAAAAGGTGTGCAAAGTGCGTTAAACATAGTGAAATATCGTGCATTATTTTTACAATTTTTAAACTTTAAATACAAATATCTCAAAAAACAAAAAGTATGAGGTGGGTATATGTGTGTACATTTTTTAATCCTGAGGACCTCTATCTGTTTATACCATAAGATCGCGGCGCCAAAGAAATCGTAATCGTACCAAGGAACTTCTTTAAAAAAAATTATATTTTTTTAATGCTATTAAGAAATGACCTCCTAATATAGATACATATATCTGGAATGATAAAAATTACAAGTTTAATAAATAAAAAGTAATTCGAGCTATGTTTTTGTATTTATATATAAAGTAGTTATTATACAATTTATTAAAAGTTTGATAAGAGTAAAAACTTATAGTCAAAACAAAAGGGTATAACTAACATAGTTAAACTATTTCTTATCAAGTTCTTTATAAGATAACAAAGCGAAAAACAAAACTATTCAGAAAACAAATGCTTTATTAAGTGTTTTTTATTTTTAATCTGCCTATTTTCACCGATGCAGAAAGTCTAATAATTTGAATTCTTATTACTAATAAAATTATGACTTCAGTTGTATATATAAAATAAAATATCATGTTATAGACATATTTCTGCTTCCGCATTCCTATGTCATAATACTTACTGTATGTATGCTTATGTGAATTCCACTTACCCAAAAAATTAGTTTAAAATCTAAAAATCTAAAATAATAAATGTATTAACATTCTACTATCGAATTAAAATATTACAATTTTTTTGTTTTTTAATAAATGTTCACACTTATACATAAATACATGTGAGATAAATTTTCTTTCAGATTTTTATTCTTTACATTACATCTAAGTCATTTTATTTTGTTCTCACTTCTTAAAAATGAAAATGTTTATTTTCAATTTCATGAACTTAATATTTAATTAATATTTTATTATTATTAATATTTATTATATGTGTATTTGAAGTGTAAATATATCATTTAGAAATTTTAGAATAAGAGTTCGTGCGGAATGCGTTTTCTTGTGTCATACCACTAATAATCGACATATATCTTTTTCATTTCAGGTCGATTTAGAACCCGAATTAAGTATAAACAATATTCAAGAAGAGTAAGTATCAAAAGTAATATAATACGTTAGTAAAACTTTTACGTTCTGTTGTTGGGTGTATATATGTAGGTTCTCGGTATAAGCTCAGTTATTTCGTTAATTGTAATGTATATTCAAATATAATTGTACTGCCTAAAGGGTATTTAAAGCATTTATATTTATATTTTTAAATGTTTAATATGATTTTCTCTTCTATTTGTGGCGATTGTGTTGATGCATTTTGTTCACTAGATATGATATTTTTAATGTCTGAATTTTGAAATTGCCAACCGAAGAACAAGAGCTTTTTAATACAATTTTCTATAGCCTTTGATTTCGAAAATATCTGCGTTTTAATTTATAACACACACTGACTGGTAGTCACGTAGTTTTTTATATAAACGAAGACAAGTACATTATACTTTTCGCGAATGTAAGTGTTTTATTATATATTAACACAAAAAGTCAAATATTAAATTAAAAATATTCATAATTAAATCAAATGTGACAGTGTGTGTATTAAACGGTAATCTTCGTGTGAATATAAACAGTTTGAGCTATATTACTCTGTTTTTACCGAAACCTCTGTTTTTGCTAATAATGTAAACATATAGTAGAAAATGAAAAGCTCAAGTACATGCAAATACATTTGTAATTTCTGTTTTTACCGATAATAATTTTGCTAATGATATTGTTAAAACATCACTTATCTGTCATATCATATCAACAACATAACGATAAAAACCTTCGCAGTTAAACAACAGCTGCACAAGTGTTTGACGCCATACAGAAACATGAAGGAAATAATATGAATGGGAGGGTTTATCCTTAGTATGGTCTTAATTTATTATACTTTTTATCAGACGCAATAAAAATTATTAATAAAATGTATGTATATTTTTACAATTTTTAGAGTTGAAGGACAGGAAACTATACAGTTGTCAGAGGAAACTGTAAATCCCGGTAAAATAAAGCTAGGTCCCAAAGATTTTGAGCTAAAGAAGGTACTAGGTAAAGGTGGTTACGGCAAAGTTTTTCAGGTTAGTTCAATTCATATTTCTTCTAAGATCTTTTTACTTACACAATATATTTATTTTAGGTGCGTAAAACTGCGGGAAGAGACGCCAACAAATACTTCGCCATGAAAGTCCTTAAAAAAGCCTCAATAGTCACAAATCAAAAAGATACAGCACATACTAGAGCTGAAAGAAATATATTAGAGGCTGTAAAGGTATTTTTTGCATGCTTTATAAACGAAAATAATTTTACAATTTATTTATGCATTTGGCCTTTTCTATTACAGCACCCATTCATCGTTGAGCTTGTATATGCGTTCCAAACTGATGGAAAATTATATTTAATTTTGGAGTATTTAAGTGGCGGTGAATTATTTATGCATTTAGAGCGTGAGGGCATATTTTTGGAGGATACAACATGGTAAATGCGTACATACATACCTATATGCATAACTATCTAAATATTATTTCCTTCCTTCTATTCATAGCTTTTATCTAAGTGAAATTATACTAGCTTTGGGACATTTACACAAATTGGGCATTATTTATCGCGATTTGAAGCCAGAAAATATCCTTTTGGACGCACAAGGACATGTAAAATTAACTGATTTCGGGTTGTGTAAAGAGCACATCCAAGAAGGTATCGTTACGCACACGTTTTGTGGCACAATAGAGTATATGTAAGTGAAATCAATGCTTTTAAGTCTTTTTGTTTCCTCCCACTCAATAGTGATAAAATTAATTTTATTTTATATAAAGGGCACCTGAAATCCTTACTCGCAATGGCCACGGAAAAGCAGTTGATTGGTGGTCATTGGGTGCATTAATGTTTGATATGTTAACAGGCATGGTAAGTTTTTTTTTTACAAGTTGCTAACTGGAAAATAAATTAGTATTATATTTTCGCTTTATACATTTTAGCCACCATTTACTGCTGAAAACAGAAAGAAAACTATCGAAACGATTTTAAAAGCTAAACTAGTTCTACCTGCCTACCTCACGCCCGAAGCTAGAGATTTAGTGCGTCGTTTGATGAAACGCCAAGTGCCACAAAGACTGGGAAGTGGTCCAGAAGATGCGGCCGCCGTACAGTCACATCCATTCTTTAAACATGTTAATTGGGATGATGTATTGGCCCGGCGACTGGAGCCACCAATCAAACCTATTTTGGTAAATATATACTAATAGATTTATATACTGGTGTAGTAAAATGAAATCCATTATTTTTGCATGAAATTAAATGCTTTAATTACCATAATTAGAATGATCCGATTCAGGTCAAATATGCGCCGTTTTGTTCGATAACTTGTTGCCATTTTAAGGGTAATTTCATTATGCCTCTCTCATAGAAGCGTTCTTTCCTATTGGCAAAAAATTGAGACAGTCGATTTTCACAAGCCACTCTTGAAGCGAATTCTTACCAGCAAAATTGTTCGCCATTAACAGGAACAGATGGTAATCACTTGCTGCCAGGTCCGGACTATAAGGTGGATGCATAAGTACCTCCCAACCAAGTTCCCGGAGCTTCTGGCGAGTCACTATCGATGTGTGTGGCTTGGCGTTGTCCTAATGGAACACAATTCCTCTCCTATTGGCCAAAGCTGGCCGCTTCTGGGTGATTGCTTCCTTTGGACTTGCCAATTGTTGACAGTACATTTCTGAGTTAAGAGTATTGTCGTATGGGAGCAGCTCATAGTAGATAATTTCCTGCAGTGAAGTTGTCGTAAGTAATCCACTTTTCATCGCCAGTCACCAACCGCTTCAGAAATGGGTCGATTTTGTTGCGATTCAGCAATGATTCGCGGTATGGAAATTCGATCCATGAGGTTTTTTTTTTGCGTTAACTCGTGTGGCACGCAGTGTGGTTACAGTATCAGGACCATAAATGCTATTCACATTTCAGCCGCTTGGCTTGCGTTTTCGCCCTTATCGAAGAAAAATTGTAAATATAGCGTATTTTCTCTTTGTCCAAGTGTCCATCTTTGACGCGCGTTCAAACAAAACTGAATCAACCAATCATAAAACTGCCCGAAAAGCTTTTTTAGTATGAAATGTCATCTTTCTAACGCCATCAAGCGGAATCCGATCGGACTTATACAACGCGAGATACAGATAAAATTTTGAAGGCTGGCAAGAGTCCCATATTAAAAATACAATCAAGTTGCGGTTTAATATCAATGCAAATGCATAAATTTCATTTCCATTTTTGAACCTTGATATTTAATTGGCTAGTTTACAACTAATATTTTATAAAATTCATTTCATTTAGTAACTTCGTTTTCTTTTTCTTTTATAGCGAAGTGAGGATGATGTGTCTCAATTTGATACAAGATTTACAAGACAAATACCAGTTGACTCTCCAGATGATACAACGCTTAGCGAGAGTGCCAACTTAATATTTCAAGTAAGTGCATATTTGTACTTTGTGTGATTATAATGTGATATTATGATTTTTATTAATTTACGTTTATACATATGAATTTTGCTACAAGAGCTTCATAACCCCAACAATTAACAAATCTGAGGAAAAACATTTTAATATCCGCTAATGTCAACTCTTTAGATTTTAGTGGAATGGAGCAATATTGTTCTCGCATTTTCAATGAGTTTTATAGGTTATGGTATTGAGGTTCTTGGCCGGAAAAATCCTTAAAAAAAACTCAGACTAAAACTTACCGATCCAAACAGGGCTAGATCACCGAAATAACAGCCCTTGCCCCGACAAAATCCGGATCAATTCCGGTAACGTAGAACCGGCTGTTGTGGGCCGGAAAAATCCTAGTTGCTTTCTGTTAAACAGATCCGATTGTAGTAGAACCGGTTTAAGGTAGCTTTCTGATTTTTACATACATAACTCTTCTATAGCAAATTATTTTTGAAGAGATTATTTACCGTCAGATATCAGTAAACTGTTTTAAAACAACATTTAACTTAATTTGCAGACATTGCATATATTCAATAAATAAGACTATAATGAATTATTTTTTTCGAATTTATCATAAAAAAATTATATTAACACAATTATTGATTCAGTGCACAGTGTCTGTAAATATAATACATTCTTGTAATAAATATTAAAATTAACTAGTCTATACTTAAGAAGATATAAAACAAGTCCATATTGTTAAGCTGCACCACATTGAAAATGCGGTTCTTTTAATGGTATGCCAGTGGGACCATCGGTGTATTCGCAAAAATTCAAACCGATTCGTCGAAATGGATGGCATTTACTTTTGGGATTACCCCATTTACCTTTAAATGATAACCATGATGGCACCAGTGCACGTCCTTGAAAATATTATTATATAATAATTTTAAAATTTTGTTTATATATCTTTATAGAATTTAATAACTTACCGTAAGATTTTAAGTTTTCATATGAAATATCCACCGATTTCCATGTGTTCCATGGTGTTCCAAATCCATTTATGTCATAAAGTCGCGCTACTTTCACAAAACGATGTTTTCCTGGTGCCGTCCACAGACCGTGAGAACCCTAAATGCAGAAATGTATAGTACGCTAGAATTATTGTGAAATTTTTAAACAAAATTTTTACTTTTGCCGCAAAAAGTACTGGGTGATTATTAAATGTTGTCACGGTTTTCGGAAAATTTGGCCTCTGTAATATGCCTTTACGAGTTTCCTGTTTCTTAAACTCAAATGATCCGGTCAGACGATTGTATGAGTAATACGCGCCTGCATCATGAGCTGAAACATACATTGCTTCTGGTTCAGCATCGCCAGTGAAAAATAAGCTCATATGTTCCCAGTCACCAATGTGACTGCCAATATCTTTGCGACGTCCTAAACAGAATCCATATACAGCCGGAAATGGAATGCTGCCCAGCGGCCCTAGGCTAAGTGTACACATTGTTTTGCCCTGAGGAAATATCTCATAAAAAAAGCATTTGCTTCTATAACATTTTAGGTCTTACTTGACTATATGGATAAAACATCCAGTATGTCACATGAAAGCTGGGCATCTTTTTACGCAGCTTTCGCCTTTCACCATCATTATTTGTCAGAAGATGATCATAACTGCTGCCTATATCTACGGTATTGTCCTCCAACATCTCATCGATAGGCATACTGAATTTAACATTGTCCACCAAATTGGCAATGAAATTGTTAACTTGTCCGCTATTGTCTGCTTGTATTGGAGAATCGGTAGTAGTCACGTCAGCTGCGCCAGTTGACTGCTCTACAGCAACTGGACGGCTCTCACCCAAGACAAGATCGTTATAAGGCTCTACCACTAAACCTTTAGGCGGTAAATTGAGCACGATTGGCGGCGATAATGGTAAATTATATTCGTTTTCGACCAGACGTAAACTATTGCGTCGCACACGTTTGAATACAGGGTACAGTCGTGATGAACGGCGTATCGTGACATTGCGCGCTTCATATGGATCGATTGAGACGGGAATGTAAGGTCCACGTGTGCTGCTTATTGTGATTGTGGATGCCAACGTAGACGTTGAGCTGGGCAGGAATGTTTGAGTTGCGGAAACTAGCAACTTTTGTTGCAAACCATTAAATTGTGATGTGTGTGGTGCTGTTGTGGGAGTTGCTGGCGTTAGCTTTGTGACAGTTTTCCGCATAGGTTCATTACAAAGCGTAACCACTGCGTAAATTGGCACTGGTGATTCGTTTGGATTACGACCGTAGATAAAAGACTTGTCATTTTCTAAAAGTTCGTCTGCAAAGGTTACGATTGGTTGAAATTTCGTTTTAGTTTGAATATCTTTTGATGGTAAATTTCTTTTAGATCCTACAAATTCATATATCTCAACAAAGATACCAATATAAATTTTCTGCCTTATTCGTTTTAATTTTTTAACAGTCCGAAATTACTACTTAAAAGAAATTGAAACATATAACAAATTGTACTAAGAATAACTATAACTAGTTAAAGTTATATAGTTATAGCAAAATGAAAGAAAATCGTTAAAAACAATAGACTTAAGCAACAAACCGTGTTTATATGATATTCAGTATTTTCGTTGTATCGTACATTCGTTCGTTTTTTTACGATTTTTTGCTTTACTTACCTATCTCTTCGTTGGTCACCAAATATGCTTTTTTCGAATCATCGCCAATTGGCATGCGTGGTATAAATGTTTTGCCTTTATCCCTGGGATGTACATTATTTAGAAATTCATCTACACCGAGTGGCATAAATTTTTCCTCCGGTGCCAACCATACAATCGGTGCCCATTGTCTAATTAGACGATCAACTGTGAATATAACATTATTTATTAGTGGCATAACATTAAATGTTTTTTGTTGTTTAAATCTCCAAAATATTTTGATACGTATGAAGATATACATAACTATTATAATCTCAGACCTAGAAATTTTTTATACAAATCTTCTTGTTTAAAAATTGTATCAAATTTGATCATTGGATTTGCTAAAAATCGACTTGTACGAAAAGTGTTAAAAATTTTCACTTTCCATTTTGCTCTTATAATTTACACGTGTAAAAGTAATACCTATACATATATGTTTTATTTCTTGTCTGACTGCGGGACATGTGAGTGCTTATTTCTGTATTTAAAGTGTGATTGGCCAAGAAAACAAACAGTTGCTCGCTCAGGCATACGACAAGACGATCGAACGATCGTTTCATGGTGATCCACTTAACCGCAAATCGGTGTGTAAACTGCGGTGTATATCATAAATAACCCGTTCTAGTAAAAGTGTAGGCCTACATATATTGTTATTTACAATTAAAATTTCACTCAATTTATCTTTATACAGTTAAAAAATAAGTAAACCAAAATTAAACATCAGGGTCCCAAATAATATAAAACACGACAAAAACAAATCGGCAATCGCAATGCTTTTAATTTTTAATCGAGGAACTTTTGTTATCAGAGGGAACTTTTTCTAGAATTTCAATTTATTTTAATTTGCTAGAGTCTTCAGGCTCAAAATAATTTATAATCTAGAATTTCATACCGCTCCCCAACCAAAAAATACTAATAACGAAAATAGAAAGATTAAGTATTTTTGACAAACTTTTCATCTATAATCGAAAAGAAGAAACCACAGGTTACAATTAACAATTAACTAGAACCAAATGAACATTCAATCGGACAGAAACAATGTCAACACAAGTTTTTACGATTTGCTTCTCTTTAAACTAGTAGAAGGGGTGTTTTCTGTGGAGTAAAATAACCATGGCCACGTATTATGTGTCTGCTGGGTAAAGAAATATTTTGTTTTCGTTTAACAACTTTTAATGTGTTAAAGCAAGAAATATATAGTCTTTGTACTATCATTTAAATAGTAAAAGAGAGATTTCAGTTCAGCTCAATTCAATACTTTGATACAAAACCATACCTACTTCTTTATCTACTGAAGAGAATTTTGTATGAAATCCATTTGGATATTGTGTATCGGAGTTTCCGTCGCTAGTGGGACCAGTATCAAAATCTATTTCGTCTACAATTTCTCCGATTATATTACTATTTTGGTTGCTGGTAGTTTCGGCATTATCTCCTCGAATATCACTGATCGCACCGCTAATGAAGGATTCTACAGGCTCATCAGCTAATGCGGTTGTAGTTTTTATAAATCCTATTAAAAGAATTGCAATTAAAGCAACAGGATGATTTTGACGACATTCATAACGTTTGACATATTTTGCCGAAACTGAGGGTTGTTGAGCGTGTACTTGTTGTGGTTGCTTCTGTTGAGATTGCTGGCAATTTCGATGACACTTTTGTTTTGGCTGTATGTACTGTCGACTGTTCGGCATTTTGCGGGGTGGAGCTGCCTATTTAATTGTTTATTTCCTTTTATCAATTTGTATGCACATGAATGTAAGTCGTTTTGTACAAAAGTATGTTTAGTATTTTATTGATCTTTTTTTGTTTGATTTTGTATCTATTAACACACACATACACAGTGTGGAATGTTGTTTTGTTTTTTTATTTGTCTAACGGCTTTCAATAAAATTCGTCTACCATGACCATAGTTGACTGGATGATGGTGTTGCTGGCTTGCTTCTTGATTTCGTTAATGAAGCAGCATCTTTACTTACAGACTCCAAAGTCTAGGCACTGAAGCGCACTTTGTTGGTGTTGATTTATGTGGGCCAATTAGATTATTATAGACTTCAGTTTCAAGGCTGTTTCTTAAGTTATGTAATGCGGCTATTACGTTATGAGTGTTTCTTTGTTGCTTATTGGAAAGGAAATCGTTAAAGTGTTTCTTCTTCTTTGAAGTCACGTTTTATCTTTTGTTTTTTAATGCGCTGAAAATATCGATACAGGTAAATATGTATACATATGTATTTGGCGATAATTATTTCACTAGATTTTTGAACTCTTATATTTTGTATACAGTATGTGTATGTATGTATGTAATACTTTTTTATAATAATTATGGGGATAGAATTATCAATTGATGCTTTAGTAGTTGATCTTGGGTGCAAAGTCATCAACTATTTTTGGAAAATGCTGCGTTGGTGCGGATTTTGGTCAGATAAATGATTTGAATCGCTAAAATAATATGAAAAATATATATAGACCTTTATGGATAGATTAGTTATACTTTTTATGCTCTTGCATGTCTTACATGTGCTATGTACAGAGTATACAAGTTTTGTTCACCTAACTGTTGTTTGTATCACCTAAAACTAATCGAGTTAGATATAGGGTTATGTATGTATATATAAATGATCAGGATGACGAGACGTTGAATTCCGAGTGACTGTCTGTCTGACAGTCCGTCCGTAAGCGATATTTTGAATAAAAAGTGAGATATCTAGGTGAAATTTGGTACACATGTTCCTTGACTCCCAAGGAAAGATAGGGTAGGGAGCGGCATCTATGGTTGAACAATAATTTTTAAAATGTTTGGTCCCGCCCTGTAATAAGTAAGAGTTCAATTTGCATGATGGCCGTGGCACCGCCCACCTTGGTGAAACGCCATATCTCGGAACTTACTTCACCGATTTCAACCAAATTCGGTAGGTATTATTATCCTGACAGATCGGATAAAAAATAATTAAAGATAAAACTTTGCACGAATAGTGCCTTTAAGGTGTACCACCAAAAATTGTCGAAATCGGGCTACAACTGTTTGAGCTACCATATGCCGAATTTGTGGTCCAGTTTGAATTACGAACTTTTGTCAAAAATATTTGTCAAACTGTGAGATATATTATTGAAATTCGGAGAGAATCCTTTCCGGATTTTCTTTGTTTGTATGTCAAAAATGGGTTGCGGATAAATACTTTCCGTAGCCGCCATATACTTAATATAAATATTTTTGAATTTCTTTATGTCGCATATATCGGCCAATATGTGGGTTATCTTAATAAGAATAAGAGATCGTGTTTCTTTTAATAACAGTGAATCTTTGTGCATAAAATGGATGAAATCGGGGTGCGGGAATATCACCTATAATATAAATTAATAATATATCAAATTTGATTGAAAGCCATTCACGATTTCGTCGAACAAGTAATTTTGAATTCTTTCGCAACATTTAAAAAAATAAAGTTTAGCCAATACCTATTTTCCCGCCTTTGAGCCTTGGAAATTGCACCGAAGCTAGAATACCCTTCACAAATACAGAAAATTCCATACAAGAACTTGATATTGATCGGTCTTGAGTATGGTCGCTATATGTTATATTGGTCCGACCTAAACTATTTCTTCGGAGCTTGTATCGTTGCTTTAGATAATCATCCGTGCCAAATTTCGTTGAGATATCTTTTCAAATACAAAAGTTTTCTATACAAGGACTAGATTTTGATAGTTCAGTTTGTATGATAGCTATATGCTATAGTGGTCAAATATCGGCGGTTTTGAGCTTCGTGGGGAGGAAAGGACGTGTGCAAAATTTCAGATCGATATCTCAAAAACTGAGAGACAAGTTCGGGTAGATGTCGGATATGGTTAAATTAACTCAGCTCGTCATGCTGATTATGTTCTCCGACGTTTCCTTCTGGGTTTACAAAAATTAAAACAAACTTAGTAGCAAACTTTATAGACCCTGTATAACAATATGCAAGCCTATTTGACTTTGCTTGTTTAGTTCCTTATCCTTAAATAATAAAAAATATTAATAAAAGTATGTAACCTTTTTGGGCATATTATTGGATCGAATTTCTTTATTAAAAAAAATATGAGTTATTTCGTTTCTAAACAACTGTAGCGGTACAAAAAAACAGGAGTGACATCATTAACAAAACGAATCTTTCAATTTTTAATAAAAAACATGTTTTAACTCTCAAAAATTTAGAACAAGACATTCACTGAATATACAATATATTAATATTTCCATAGTCCATATGTTTTAATTGAACGTAAAGAAAATTTGATATCACAGTTTATGTTAAATAAACTAAAAATTAGTTCCACATAAAAATAGGAGTATTCTATGTAGTACGAAAAATTCTAAAAGTTTTAAATTAAAATAATTTCAAATCTTTACTGAATGTAAAAATAATTCATATTCCTTTGAATAGCTTTGGTTTTTTTTTTAATAGCACATAACACTTTCTGGAACTAGAGCCTATGAGTTCCTGACAATGTTGAAATGGTAATCTTTCTCAAATCTTTTTTACTAATTGCCAGAAATTGCTCGAATTTGTTAGTTTTCGTTCAATAACACTTTTTTTCATATCAGTTCTAAAGGGTTTTATGTGGTTACGGTTAGGGAACTAAACAAACTGAGACATATGTAACTTCATCTCCGTTGCCTCTACATCATTTCTTTACACACTTGTTGATCTGTTTAACATGATTTTAGTATCGCCGTGTCTGACGGTTTTGGTTGTAAATCAGGGATTATTTTCCATGTTAGTGGAACGCCGGACAGAGTTTATAGAACTTTTACTAACAAATAATTAAATTTTAGATTCATCTGACTACAATATATTTCGCCATTTAAACACGGGCCAGTAGACATGTTTTTTTACAAATTGTACACGGGCGTCTACGTGTTTCTTTTTTAGTAGCGGGACTTTTAGTTCTGTGACAACACCTACAAAGAGTTTCAGTATTAACTGATAAATTTAGTTCATCATTGATGCTTTTGACTAACTCAATATCATTAATTTTGCAGTAGTGTCATATATTGGGATCTTCAACAATGGATGTTTGGCGCTTTCGTCCATCTGTTTCATTTGTATTCCTATAATTAAAGGCTTTTGCTACCATTTGGGCAAAATATCTTTTCATTTCTTGGATCTCTTTACATATTTTTCCTAGTTTTCGATTTTTTTTTTTATTATCATTTCCCACTTTACTTATGTAGAAGTTTTTTTACCCACTGAAGAAAAATTTAATGGGTAAATTTACCATAATTAATTAAAATTGCTGCTAGATTATGGAACTCTACTTACTTTTCTAATTTTGCAAATATTAATTAGTTTTAAGATTTATTTAGTAAGGAAATGTCTAATACTCCTATTTTTTGTGGAAAGCAATTAGTAAAACTGAACGAGAATAACAATCATCACATTAAAAATTTGTTTGATGTTTTAATGTGAATATCCCGTTTGTGTATCCAGAAACGTTATATACCCAAATATATTTTTCTTATAGAGACTCCTGTTATTTTGTGGATTGTGTATATTCACAATATATGTATATTGAAAACAATGAAACTGTGGTAATATGTGCGGCTGTCACACTTTGGATTTCACGAGCTGCAGCTTCATAAAACGAGATTTTTTATTCGGAAATTGATTTCCAGCTCTTTCACTAAAGCGTGCGCTTGTGCAAAAAGGTACAAGACGTCGTCCTAGTTTGGGCATTTTAGCGTGAAAGTGTTCAATTTTGTCGACGTTTCAGTCCATTCTTTAGCTTTTAGCACAATACGAGTATATTCACATACACACATGGAGTATGAGTGAATGCATGTACAAGTAAACTGTTGCAATGTGCAATGTATACGCGTCTTTTCGTTTTTGTTAAGTTGGGTTGCGCTCTTATTGAACAAATTTAGTTTATAATTGTGTTCCAGTTCTGTTTGGGCGTTTTGTATTAAAAGCCGGAAATTCGTAATCACATTAATTTATATTTTGTCTTGCTTTTGGCAAGCCTCTTTCTCTGACTTTCCCCTTTTATTTACTTTACTGGCTGTGGTGCGCTGTCGTCGCTTTAGTTGACTGCATTAGGTAAATGGCTTTACTGGATTCCATTTTTAGGCCATAAACGCTCAGTGCACATGTCGATATCGCTGACGAACACCGTTAACGTCATTTTGCAGCGCTATGTATATGCGCATGCGTGTTATAATTATTAAATGTGTGTTTAATTGTATATTAATTTATTTCATTTCGTTTTTAGTGTACACAAGGGTGTGATGATTTAATATATACGAGTTCGAAGTATGAATAGGTCAATGAATTTTTGTTTACTTTTTCAATCACGCTATACTCATGCGCACCCACACATACACACACTCTGCGTGACTTTCTTTTTTCAAATCGCGAAATAATAAAACAAAATCAACAAAATATCCACAATAACACACCACAAATTTGGATAACTATTCGCCTTAAACTAAACACCTATTTTCAATCGAACCGTTTAGCTCGTGGCGGAAACACTTGTGTTGAATCGTTTCTCCGGTTGTTTTCGTACCAAACCGCTAGCGTTGAGTAGCGTTCGCTGACTGTTTTTTCGTTCAAAACGGCAGTTGGTTATTGCTCTAACTGACATGCTAGTGGCGAGATGGTTCGCTGTGTTGTTAACGTGAGTAAAAAGGCATAACAACACAACAGGTATTTGCGCGTATTTTCTTGTTTTGCTTTTAGTTTTGTTTGATAACAAAGTCATGAATCAGAGGAGAGAGTTAAAAGAACGTTGCGACGTTCTCATGCTTCATGAATTTGATTGTTGCATAGTCTGCCTGACGATGTGGTAATTTAATCGAGATCTTCCTATTGGAGTTGTGCATTTCATGCTAACGCTGATTTGAACATGTCAAAGTGTGTACTAAACATAAATGCCACTACAAATAAACCACTGATTATCACGGATGACTTATTTTTTAGATTTCAGTGTTAATTGAACTCAATTTGATGTTTAAATATAATATGTACCAAATGTCATATTTATTTAATATTTATGATCCAACCCCTTTGCAGTGAAAGGTGTCCACTTAAATCGGAGCTTAAATCGTTGTTCGTTAACTTTCTATCTCGGATAAAAATGTTTTAAATTTGTTTTTTATACTCTCGCAACCTGTTGCTATAGAGTATACTAGTTTTGTTCACCTAACGGTTGTTTGTATCACCTAAAACTAATCGAGTTAGATATAGGGTTATATATATCTAAATGATCAGGATGAAGAGTAGAGTTGAAATCCGTCCGGCCGTCCGTCCGTGCAAGCTCTAACTTGAGTAAAAATTGGATAACCATATAACGGTACTGTTAAAAACTACTAAAAGCGCTATAAATCAAGCACTAAACACGCCAGAGACATTCAATTTTATCTCTGGGATGGTATGAGATTACTTTATAGGAACCGCGTTCAAATTAGTCAGTGGGCGTGGCACCGCCCACTTTTAGGTGAAAGCCCATATCTTGAGATCTGCTTAACCGATTTTAACCAAATTACATAACATTATTCTCATATCTCTATGTTATAGTGCAAAAATGGGCGAAATCGGATTACAACCACGCCTATTTCCCATATAACACCATTTTAAATTCTATTTGATTCTTTCACTTTCCAGTATGCAAATCAAGCAACAATAATGGTATCGGGGTAAAACTTTGCGTGAATAATGCGTTTAAAGTATGCCACCTTGTGACCAAAAATTGTCTAAATCGAACCAAAACTGTTCAAGCCCCTAAGTACTAAATATGTGGACCCCAGTGCCTATAGTTGGCCTTCTACCGAAAATATCAGTCAATCCACAAAGAAATCTCAAACGAGTATACTATTTGACTTTGCGAGAGTAAAAAATGTTCGGTTACATCCGAACTTAGCCCTTCCTTACTTATTTTTGCTTGAATTTGAATACCTATATTTATAATTGTAAAGATAAGAGCAAAAGTATATCAAAATATGTCAATGCCTTAATCAATACATATGTTATGTTCTGTATACAAACGTGCTTACTGCAACAACAAATCGATAATATAAATTTACAATTTCAAGTCTCAGGGTATCGGGCAGATCCTCCATAACGGGATGGAGGTTAATATACTGGTTTGGATTAGCAAACGTGAGAAGGCATCAGATTGTTTTTACAAGCTTTTGCTTAATGCAAAAACTGTGTAAGGTAAGACCCTGACCTCGTTCATATTTTGGAGCTCTGAACTTTTCGACAAGCCAATTAGGTATCCATATTTCTTTAAATATGTATGCTTGTCAATAACTCATACACACACATAAATATGTGTGGGAGCAAGTGTGAGTTTAAAACAAAGTTTATTTAAAGATAGCATTTGCGAGTAATTATATCATACAATCTCATATATAAAAGTACGTGTATTGTATGTATCTAATATCACGCGCACCATATCGAATAGTAAACAGCAGAAAAAACGGACGTATTAGTGCGTGCGCATGCGTTTTTGCATTAACGAAATGTTTGTGGGGCAATTCATTATATTGCTGTACTCTATGGCATTTTTAGTCTTGGCTTACCTGTGTTACTACTTAACTGTGAGTGAGTGATATCATGTAAATTTACATACATACACTTATAAATTTGAACATACACATATACATACATACATGAACTAAATTCGCAAGTGCAATCTAATTACATGTGCCAACAAACTCAACATATTTTTGCGACGTTTGTTTAGTTAGAGCACAACGCAGAGTGAATATGACCACAATGCATACTAGAAAAATAAAACATAATAATTATGTAATCCTGGCAAGTTACTCGAACCCGGTTTTAACACTCCTTGGCTAATTCAATGCAATTGGCTTTCTTTGTATAATTTTGTTTTTGTTGTTTCATAAGTTTATGAAACCAAAAGAAAATGAAACCATAAGTAATGTAAAAGTAGTTTTATGGGACTGGGGGAATATATGAACAGATTGCATCTGTTTTAACTGACAAGCCTAAAATATATGTATATATTAAGCGAAATATTGATAAAAAGTTATATTAATATTTAGATTAAAGTCCGTCATTATAACATATTGGGCATATGGAGGCTGCTCAACATATCGCTTAACTTCATTTAATTTTATACTCTTGCAACATGCTGCTACAGAGTATAATAGTTTTGTTCACCTAATGGCTGTTTGTATCACCTAAATCTAATCGAGATATATATGAAGTTATGTACAGGATGACGAGACAAGTTGAAATCCGGTTGACTGCAAGCGATAACTTGAGTAATAATTGAGATATCTTGATGGAACTAGGTACACGTGTTCCTTGGCACCCAAAAGGGAGTTGGTATTGCAGATGGGCAGAATCGGCCAACTGCCACGCCCACACCAAGCCATTAATCGAAAACCTATGAAGTACTATAACACCCAAAATGAGATATAAGGCTGTTATTTCATACAACGAATTACATTAGGAAGCGGCATCTATGGTTTAAAATATTTGAAAAAGTGGGCGGGTCCGTCCTCTAATAAGTTCAATAAATAATACATATCTTCAAAGCTATTTAAGCTATAAAACCAAATTCGCTCAGTGCAAATCTTCTCACAGTGTAAAAATGGGTGAATCCGAATTATAACCCCACCCACTCCCACCTTATGACCCAAAATTTTCTAAATCGGACCAAAACTGTTCAAGTCCCCAGATACCAAATATCTGGGCCCCCCGTGCCATTGGCAAACTTTTTATCAAAATTTACATGTCAATCTTTCAGATATATTGTGGAAATTCTGAGAGAATCCATTTCTGATAATAGTATGTCTGTATGTCAAAAATGGGTTGAATCGGATACCTTAATGAAACTCAGAAAGTATCTTTTTCTCTTAATAATATTTAGTAATGCAAAAATAGATAAAATCGGGTCAATATTACCCCTATCTCCCTTATACCTAATATACGATTTTTTATATATTGGTCAATATGTAAGCTATCATACCAAAATCAACTGAGCGTATAATATTGAATATACTATAGTTTAGAGCCGAAAATATGTGAAATTGGTCCAGGAATTGCCCAAACTCCCATATACCACATATAATGATTTTTGTTATTCTAACAAACCTTTTGCCGAATATGCAGGTCAATGTATGAGTTATATACATATTCATAAAATTGCTTGAAAATATTTTTTCTAGTACGCTTGAGTAAAGTCTAAATTTTGTGCAATCAGCCCGCAACTGTTCTACCCCTAAATCCTTATTGTACAGGTTTTCGACTTCCCACCTGTCTTTAAACCGCTTAAAATGTGAAATAAAGTGAGCAAGCTTTCCTAAAAATTATGCGGTTATTTCCCTAGCCTTGAACCTGGCAAGTTGCAAGAGTATGAAATGTTCGGTTACACCCGGACTTTTTTTTCATTCGCAACCCTGAAATAGATGAACAATTTTTTAACCGTTTGGCGAAATAAAAATTATAAAACTGCTAATTCCCGGGAGTGGAAAGAAAGTATTTTAATGGTAATCTCATAATACCTATATGAGTACGTTTAACGTTTGACCTTAAGTTTTGGTAAATCAATCAATTAATTTTACATATTATATATATAATAATTCATAATTTCAATAATGATGAATATTAAGTATTTGTTATTAAAATTATATTTCATAACACAAAGCTATTCTGAACGCTAATTACAGTAATATTACTAAATATTTTCTACACCGAAAAATAATATAATTCAAGTTCGGCGTCAAGTCTTCATTGTTTTGACGGTTATGCTAAGGTGCTACTATTATATTAGTATATCCATTTTAGAGGGTAATGAACTTCCATATTTAGCCACTAAAAACACGAAAGATATTTACGCTTGCACTATAAACGAGGTATTTCACTAAAAGTTCATAAATTAAACAATCTTGATTTCGTGCAACGCTGCTAATTTGATTTAGTTTTATGAAACATACTCGTACCACAACTAATTAACAACAATTGAAGTTCCAATTTCATAAATGTAAGCGCCTAAGTATACCACGAGTATATACACATACATGCGTACCTCATGAAATACTTGTGTTCACTATACATTATATGCCAGCGGTTTTGTTAATTGACTGGTTTGTTTGTTGGAAAAGGCCGACGCAGGCAAACAACGGGTATGTTTTTATGACCAGTGGTTATGCGTAAACAATTTGTACTCTTTAAGTTAGTAATAATTTTACTATAAATAGGCTTGAAGCTCTGCAATACCTAAGAAAACGCATGTTCGTATATATGAAATTAGCAATAGATACACACATACAGATTTACATACATACATAAATAGGCCATACAATTTATTATCTGCTTCTGCATCCATGCTCCTAACACTCGTCACGCTACCACAAATACTACTATTTTATTGCAGTTGAGCAACTGACATCGATGACGAATGCTACGTACTATATTTTTATTTTTATATAACATATGTACTCTTGTGATATCACTGTTAGTATTGTGGTATGTTAGCGCTAAAAAGCATGCATGACATTGAACTACACATAAAATTATCCAACTAACAATTGGATCACTGAACTAAATTCATAAAATTAGCATGGAAACTATTGGAAGCTTTATAGCAAAACAGAATGTGGAATAATATATTCTATATATATGTATGTATATGTATTTGTGTGAGCACAGATATTTAAACCTAAATTACTAATTTGTTATTATATTGCTTGATCCGCTGGTCACGGTCTCTCAGTTTTTGAGATATCGGTTTGAAATTTTACACACGTCTTTTTCTCCCTAAACTGTCATACAAACTGTTCGAATCAAAATCAAGTTCTTTATGGAAGACTAGAATTGACAAGATATCTTCAAGAATTTTAGTATAGGCTACATTCTCTAAACATATCGCTCAGATCGGACCACTATAGCATATAGGTGACCCTTTTCTGCTAATAAGGTGCACATGTGAAGGGTATATAGCTTCGGTGCAGCCGAACGTAACGTTTTTTTGTTGTTTTAGATTAATTTGAAAATCTACTACATACTACATAGTATGTATATGAAACATTAGCCTCGAATTTATCGAAATCAAAATATCCACTATAAAATTTGTATGCCATAAAAGCTCTCTCAGTATTTAAAACAAATCACAAAAAAATACTCATTGTTTAACTCATTTCAATGAATTATAAATATTATGTTGCAAACTAAGTAATTGCGGATTTTTTTAAAAATCAAAGACAATTTTTTCATGAAACTAAATAACTTTATTCTGTAATGTATTGCCCATTTTGATCAATGACCTTTTGCCATCTTTCAGGCAGCATCATAATCCCACGTTCATAAAACTTCTGGTTTTTATTAGCAAAATCTGAATCAGGTACGATTTTACATCATCATCATTATTGAAATTTTTACCATTCAAGGAGTTTTGTAAAGATCGAAACAAAAAGTAATCCGATGGTGCAAGGTCAGGACTATATGGTGGATGTGTCAAAACATCCCAACCAAGCTCCAATAATTTTTGCCGAGTGACCAAAGAATCTGGTCTGTGGCCTTGCATTGTCATGATGGAATACAACACTTTTCGATTTATCAATTCGGGTCGCTTTTCTTCAACTGCATTGTTTAATTTCGTTAGTTGTTCAATGTAGACAACAGAATTGATCGTTCGGTTGGGTGGTAAGAGTTCAAAGTAGACAATTCCTTTATAATCTCACCAAACTGATAAAACCTTCTTTTGATGAATACCAGCTTTTGATGTTGTTTGAGCTGGTTCACCTGGCCTGCTCCACGAACTTTTCCGCTCGATATTGTTGTAAACAACCCATTTTTCATCGCCAGTTATCATTCGTTTTAAAAATGGATAATTTTCATTACGTCTCTTTAGCAAATCACATCTGTTAATGTGTTGCGTTAAATGCGTTTCTTTCAGTTCGTGAGAAACCCATGTATCGAGTTTTTGAACCCAGCCAAGTTGTTTTAAGTGATTTTCAATGCATGTATGTGATACATGAAGCTTCTCAACAATCTCACGAGTTGTACTGTGACGATCCGAATCGATTATTGCTTTGATTAGGTCGTCATCAACTTCAACTGGACGACCAGAGCGTTTTTCATCTTTGAGTGAAAAATCACCAGACCGAATTTTGGCAAACCAATTTTGACACTGCCGCTCTTTTATGGCTTCGTCGCCATAAACAGCACATAACTTTTTGTAAGCTTGCGATGCGTTTTTCCCTTTGTGAAAATAAAAAAAAGCAAAATATTGTATGACGAAAAGGTTCCTTTTGATCTTCCATTTTTCAACGAACGCCAAACGAAAACTACGCAACCGATCAAAAAACTTTTTTTTTACTGATTGACAGCTGAATTGCCAATTATCAAATAACAAAATGTGTTTTACATTTGGACTACGCCAGCAAACTTAAAAATTCAACCCAATATTTAAAAATTTACGAGAAATTTCAGCGGTCAAAAACTTAGTAGTGTAACAAATTAAAAATTAAATTTCGAAAAAAAATTGGTAAAATCGTTTTTTTATTTTTGTTTTGAAATTGGATAATACATTTTTATAAATACAGTTTTATATTTAGTTGCGTGATCTTTATTTTTTATTTTGCTGGCGTCAACAAATTTTTGATATCCTTCGGTGGAAATAGACTCCCATTCATTCTTCCCAGGTTTACATCGGGCTAGAGACTCCTTGACTTTAGACCTGAAATTTTCGATGGGGTTGGTGTTAGGGAACTGTGGCGACCATTTCATTACGTGGACATTCCTTTCTTCAAACCACCTTTTAGCAATATTACTTGAGATCATTCTCTTGCTGGAACGTCCAAATAATCATGTTTTCCTTGATCCAATTAATGGCTCCCATACCTTGTCAAGAAAAGCACGCCAAACCATGATACTTATACCTCCATGTTTTACCGTTGTACCGTGGTGTGTTTCGGCCGGTATTCGGTATGTGTTCTTACATATTGACGCGAACCCTTTCCGCCATATATAGCAATTTTTGATTCGTCCAACCATAAAATGCTGCGCTATTTGGTCGAATACCAATTTAAATGTTCTTTGGCGAATCGAAGTATTTTTCCAACATGCCTTTTAGGCAATAACGCAACTTTTCTTGTCTTTCGGACACTCATGTCGTGATCGCGCAAACGTCGGCGTACTTTTAGTTACATTAAAGGCGTCTTTTATTTCTGTAAGAACCGCGAATGGAAACTGCTGTTTTTTATTATTGAGTTAGTACCTGTTAGCAATATTTACCATTGTGGGTGAGCTATAACTTTTTTATTTATCAGGGCGATCTTTTCGAGCGTACAATATTTATTTTTCGATCTTGCTAAATAAAGAACAGTAAAATTTTAATATTAAAAACAAAAATTTCATTTGAATCTCACCGTTATTTACAAATTTTCACAAAGATTTTCAGATAATTTTAATTTTTCAAACACTTCTCTTACATACTACTAAGATTTTGGCTGACCGAAAATGCATGTTTTCATGTCGACTTCTGACACTAACGGATTTTAAAGTGAATCTAAAAAAAAATGTAATAAAATAGTTTGATCACATAAATATACAGATTTTGGCCGCAACTGTATATATATACATTCACATATATAATGTTCTTCCTCTCTATATTAATTATTATTTTCATTATTTTCTTTTCAAGGGTTTCACATACGTAGCACCTTCAATTTTAGAGGACATGCACCGCGTCAATCGCATGCCAGCAAGATCACCAAGACGTACACCAAGACAGCATCATGAAGGATCATACCGCATGCAATTTCCGCCACAACGTGGCATTTATCCACGAGCCACGCCACCACATTTACAAGCTTTTCCGCCACGCCCATCGCCACAGGACGAAATGATGGATGTACAGGGTGTCCCTATTGTGTAGTTAAAGGCGGACAGCAACGGCAAACCCACATTGGCTACAGCCAATGCAAGAGCAAATATAAACACGCGGCCGAGGAATATTAATGATGGTGGTAGTAGTGCGAAGAAGAATTAAATGAATCACTATAAGCAGAGAAAATAGAAACTGATTATGAAACTGCAAACAAACAAACAGCAGCAAACATTTTTTTTAGAAAATATGTAGAAATATGTTGCTTAAGATTATTTATACAAATACAACTTCAAACGTTGATGAAACTTAAGAGGAACAATGTATAATAACGAGATGTAAAGAAGATCTTTTGGAATCAAAATGATGATACCCAGAAACCTAAACACTTAAAAACGAGTAAAACAATGAAAACCAATACCAACAAGTAAACTGAACGAGACCAGAATGAGTCGACATTGAAGTTTTGCCGGCTTAGCAGTTGGAATTTATTTGTGCGCGTATACAACAAATAGTTAATAGATTTAGTATAAAAAAAGAAAAAAGTGAGAACAACAGCGATTAAGGCTAATATTATGAAATCTAATTATTAAATACATATATAAATAGATATAACTCAATTGCAACAGAAACGAATATATGCAAGTAATTGAAAATAGTTAGCTCTTAATATAAAAGAACGATTGTAACGAATAAGAAAAACATACATATAGTCAAACTTTCGTGCATTGCCTAATTTGTCGCCGCATCGCTCGTTGTTGCCTACTGGCATGTGGTTTTGCGCTTTTTAGCAAATCCGCCCACGTCATCATGAACCGCTTTTTTATTATTGCATATTATTAAGACATGTAAATACACAAATATTTCAAACAAAATGAGGGAGCCAACTCTTCTGTCAACACCATCGCTATCAATTATATTGTTACTGGTACCAGAGGACATAAGCTGCATACATATATACATTAGGGGCAACAACCAACAAAGATAGTGGTTATTGTTGTATTGGTGAAAATAGGCGTAGAATTTATGTTCAGTTCCCTTTACTTAGTTCAATTTAGTTTATATAAATGTATATTGAAAAGGAATGTAAACCGTTAGTCAACATAATATTAAACTATTGTTAATAATGAAATATATGTGGGAATTTAAGCTTGCAATATGTGCACTGCTACTAATTCAGATATGAAAGTGCCACAAATGTAAAAATTTATAATAAAAACTAAAATATTTAAGTAAATAATTGAGCACTATTGAGTTTGTCACACTATCGTCGTTATGGAAACACATTGCCAAAACAAAAGTGGAAGTGACCCGTATTTAATTGAGCGTTTAGAAGGACTTCTCATAATTTTTTTTACTATTGTAATCATTGTTTTTATTGAAAATTTACTTGAGTTAAACTTTTTAAGGAATGGAATAAACAAAATAGTTTGTTTTTAAAAAAGATAATTCATTGAGTTCAGTCGCAGTAATAGTAAGTAATATCATATTCTTTATGGTTTTTACGTTACTTTAAATATTTATAATAAACACATAAACGGTTTTTAAGCTCGTTTAGTTTTTTGGTAAATACACCATTTATTTTGAAGTGTCATAACTCAAAATCGATCTTATATTAAGTTACTTTAACATATACATTGTTTATGATTCCTCGCAACAACAAATGGAAAATATGCAAATGCAACTAGCCACATTTTTTCACACTTAATGTTTTCACATTTATCTAGTATAATTTACATATTGATATACATTTGTTTTTGTCTGAATATATTAGCTTTTGAGTTACTCCGCCTATACTTTTATTAACCGATAGTTATGTGTCGATTCCAACCCGGCGATTCAGTTTAAAACAGAACAACTCATATCGGAAAAAACATAATTTATAATAGTTTATCCAGAACTCTGCCAAACATTAGATTGTTATCTGAATTAAGTATAATAGATCTTTTTTGAAATTTTAAATATTTGAAATGCTGTAGATTTTTAAGCAATTAAAATATTTTTTTTGTTAAATTGTGAGGAATATTTCTATTGAAAAATTGCAGGAGTTCGAACAAAACAAGAACCAAGTTGTTGTTGCCAGAGCCGGTACATATTTCTCTTAATTCCGATATTTTAATTTGAAATAAACTTTAGTATATTTGTAATACCTGTAGAAATTGACAGATGTACATATGTATATAAAATTATAAAGTCATCTGCAAATGTGTCAACCAAATGTCGTAACTGTTTGTATGAAGTAGTATGTATAATACTTGGTCCCGTTTTTTCTCCTAAATCGCAATTTTTCTTAACGCTACTACAACGGTTTAAGTCAAAGATAGATTTAGCTTAGAGAATGACACAATGTTTGAAATTTTGTTGAATACACATCGAAATATATATAACAAAATTTACAAGCATCTAAAGGATCTGTAAATTGTATAAATTTATTGGGCAGCAATTTTCATTCCCTCAAAAAACTGAATATACAATGCTTAAAAGGTTATTTGTCTTTTTCAAAATTTTTTAGTGGTTTGTTTCGAAAAATTGTGCATATTATTTTATTTTGATATAATGTATAATAAGAAAAAAATATATAAATAATAATTATTATAAAATACGATAAAAAGATATTGTGTTTAAGATACAAAAATATAATCTTTCTTTTATGCAAAAAACTGAAAAGGCCCTTCCGTAATATAATTGTTTTAAACGAAGGCAAAATATTGGATTAATTAGATAAGTATGCAAAAATATATAGATTTCGAGTGAATATTAAAATGAAATACGTAAATTCTTTAATGTCACAAAATAAGACATTTCTTATCATCAAAAACACCACTACAAAAGGAATTTAATAAAGCGCTGGCGTAAAAAACTGCATCCTTTCCCTGGTTCATATACTTTCATTTGAATATTTCAAGAAATTTATTATTTCCGAAGAACAAAAATATGTTTATTATACATATGATTTGCACAAAACAGGCCAACAATACAAAAATAGAAGAAAAATTAAAAAAAAAACATTGTTTGCATATACTACATGCAATAAAACTGTTTCATATTTAATATACAATATTTTATACAACAATGTGAGCAAATTAAAGTATGGAGTAAAAGTAATTTGCATGGTACAATAATGTGTGAACAAACATTAAAAAAATACCAAATTAAAAGTAATATTAAATTGATTTGACATAATTATTAATTGAAGAATATGCGTATTACTTGCCAATTGCAAAAATTTATTGAAAATAAGTTTAATATAATTGAAAGTTATTTTTAAAAAGTATATTGGAAAGTTTAAGTTTTTATTGCCTTTTCTACAATAAAATAACTTAATTTTATTAGTATCGATTCTGAAATTATAAACTTATTCAATGTTTAATTTGAATACGATATTTGAATTTTGGACTTGATCTAATTCAAATTCTTAAGTGAAGACACAGCGTGTATTTTTCAATTTTATATTCATTTTATTTTCTTTAAATGAAACAACATTAATATCTACATACATATATATGCATATAATATTGTTTTTTGATGAAATCAAAAGGTGCTAAACTTATTTAAGCGTAAAGCTAAAAGAAATAAAAAGAAAATAAATATAAAAATACACAAAAAATAAAAACAAAATTATCTCGATAAAAATATGTATATTGAACCAAATCTGTATGCAATAAAATTCCTAGATTGCAAATAAAAAAGTGAGCAACAGCAGCGTTACAGTAAATACCTCAAGAGCAATTATTTTTGTTACAAAAAATGTTTAATGTACATACATAAATACGTATGAAAACTAAAATACACAAAATCAACCGAAAGAAACACAACAAAAGTAGTTTGAAAATTATTACTTAAGGAAAAATAATAAATTGTATATTTTTATAGTTACAATTTAAATCATTTATGTATATGCTATTTTACAGTTAACACGACCCTGTTTCTTTTATATGCTTCATAATTTTTTTATAAGCAAACAGTTCAAAAATGACTACAGCAGAAAAAAAATGGCGCTAAACTAAACATGTACATACACATAAACATAAACATTGCTGAATAGTTACAAAAACATACACAAACACATGCACAGTATGCAGTATAAGAAATGTCTTATTTTTATTGTAGATAAATTATAGACAAGAATCAATGCTGAAATAAAAAATATACAAAATTTATAATGTTTACAAAGAATGAAATAAAACAAGAAAATGTGTAAAAAATTCAAGCTATTTAACGTGTATATAACTGAATTAATTATACTATATACGAAGGCAGAGGGACAATTTTCATGTTGGCTCTTTCTACAAATATTTTATTATTTTACGTAAGTCATTAGTAAGGTTTTTTTTTTCGTTTTTCTTATATTTTGCATGTATACATATACATACTTACATATACACAGGCCAAATCCTCAACTCAGGATTGCGGTTATATATGTACATAGGATTTTGTTCATTTTGAATTATCATATATAATATTTTGTCCATGAAAGTCTTCCCCACAATAATTCATATGATTTCTGCTTACGAACATTTTATTGATAAAGAGCTTATAGAACCTGATCAAAACTTTCTTGATAATAAACATATAAAACAAGAAACAGTTCGCTGTTTGAAAGAAACGTGCAACACTGCCTTTTGTTCTCAACTGTCAATACAAAATACATATTTACCATCTATGTATGTGACACAACATTTACATATGTACATACAAAGCACATATATGTATACATGTATATATATATACATTATATATGGTATGTATATGCAAATATAATAATTACAATGGCATTGAACATAAAATATGAAACACAAATGTACATAGGTATTCGTATGTAGACTTAAGACATATAAGTATGTATGCATATATACTATGTCTACATGCATATATGTACATATATATATGTATGTAAGTATGCACACATATATATATATAATTCGTTAAAGATCGTTTCGATAATGTGAAAACTATTCCTATTTGCAGAAAAGAGAAGACTATAAAAAACTTGTATCAAATAAATAACGGAATAAAATAAAAGTTTTAGATGCGTAATAAATTGAACGGTGGTTTTTAAATAACTAAATAAAATGAATTTAAGTATGTACATTTAAATCGAGATATATGTAGATTAGTTTATATAGCTGATTCCAAGAGAGGATCGCAGATGAACTGATTATGATCAGTCCTTTTTCAGACTAGAAAACGCAAAAACGTTAACTTTGGCTGCTATAGTACCCTTCACAAATACAAAAGATGTAGTGATCCGATCTAATCAATTACTTCGGAGATTGCATTACTGCCTTATATAATGATCCATGCCAAATTTTGTAAGATATCTCGTAAAATAAAAAAAGTTTACCATGCTTGATTTCGATCGTTCAGTTTCTATGACAGCTATAGTGGTCCGATATCGGCCGTGAGCAGCTTCTAGGAGAGAAAAGGACGTTTGCAAAATTCCACATCGATATCTCAAAAACTGAGAGATTAGTTCGTGTTTATACAGACAGACCTTGCTGACCTTTTATATAAATACATATATGGTATATTTTATAGGGTCTCCGACGTTTCCTCCTGGTGCTACAAACTTCGTGGCAAACTTAATATACCTTATTCAGCGTATAAAAAGAAATACCGTAATTAGATTTTAAATGTCCACATTGTTTTAGTCTTGATCTGACAAATGCGGAACAATAAAGCAAAAATTTCTGGGATGTTTTTACCTCGTCTCCATCCAAGTAGCTTCTACAACTGGCATCCGGTAAGATTTTTAATCTTGCCGCGTAGACATCAATAGAACAATATCTAGTTATAACCCCTTCAATTAGGGAAAGCTTGCGATTTACTCTGGGACATCAGCATTGTGTAATTGCATAGGTTCAATAGTAATCTGCAGAGTTCCGATCCATTCTCATTTCAACGACAGAGAGGCTGAATTGCCCTTCCTTGTAACTCATCAGTTTTACAGTAACACTTGAAAATTTTGAATGGCAAGTTGTGCGTGGCTCCAGGTGTATTTATGCATTGTTGCAATATTTATGGGTAAGATATTTAATTTATTCGAACGCTGCCAAGTATAATATTTGAATGTAAATATAATTATTATTATGCAATCCAAGTTTATTTATCATTAGAATAAAGTCTTACATATTGAAAAATATGAAACCTTTCATCTTTATTAAATATCATATTAGCAAGTATGATTATTTTGCTGGTGTGTATGTGGCGTATGAAACATTGATGACCCTGTAGAAATTAGGCTTATTGACTTTACCTTTTGAAATGTCATTTACGTTACAAACTTGATTAAGTTTGAGCAAGGTTTAATAATATTATTCTAATTATGAATAATATAACTGGATTCTCTACATGATCTTCTAACTCATACTAATATTATATATTACTTAAAACAAATCTTTATAGATTTTTATAAGAGAAAATTTGAACTTAATGCATATATAATTTATATTGATAGGAACATTAATGAGATATATATGTCTTAATGTTTCACCTCAATCATCAAAAATTTTTAATCTCCTTCGATCGATGCTAATTTTATAATTTTAGGATGGCGTGGGTGCTGGTAGGAATTCTTTTCATTTCGCCAAACTAATCTACTGTGAAAGTACTACATTAATGAAGAACCACATTGACAATTTATTCAGACCAAAAAAAAAATAATAATAAATTATAATAGTCCTCTAGGCAACCACGCACGAGCTCCCGTATAATCGATATTATTTTATGTGCTTGTATAAATTTCTCCACAATATGTCTATTCCAGTTGATTCGTTGTGTATGGAGTTGTTGACTTTGAAAAAATTTGTTGTTCATATTGAAGTTTATAATTAACAAACCTAGTATAATATTTCATATTCTAGACATACATACAAATATTCGTATACATTTTTTAAAGATCTTTAACAGAATAACATCAACAATAACGTGAAATCATAAAGATGCTGCCGAATATGCGTTCACGACGAATCGCTGGTCTGCATTTGACTGGCAAGGGATATGGTCCTCAAGCGAAAATACCACCCAAGTATACGGAGGAAGACTGGGATTTCAATAATCAGGTGAAATTTCGCATCACCTGTGATCAGGAACGTTTAGCAGAACGCATTGTAGAGTAAGACATATGATATACTAGTGAAAATAAATGAACTGGCCATCATTAATATGACGTAGGGAATCACAACGCATTGTGGACGAAACCAAAGACACTACTAAAAGTTGGCAGCGTGAAGTGGAACATCATATGCGCGAGCGTACTAGTGAAATTCGATTTTTATTAGATGAATTGAATAGGCAAAAGAAAACGGCCATGCTGGAGGATGAGGCGCTGAATACATACCGCAATCGTGTACTAAATGCTATAGAGTTTCTCAAGGAAAAATCGTTGGCCATAAATCAGCGTTGTCAGATACTACGAGAGGGTCGTATTGGAGTGGACCTGTGTGATGACGAGGTGGATCGTTGTTTGCGTCGCGAGTTGAAAGTTATTAAAGGATGTCAATGTTTAATGGATCGATCTCTGAAGGAGGCAAACGAGCAGATACGTAGTCTACGCGCTACAATGTATTTGTTAGATAAGGATCTTGCACAGAAGGATAAATCTCTCTTGATTGATGAAAATAATTTAACACTGCGAGAAACACAGCGCAATTTGGGCCACGGAAAAGATCTATCGAATCTCGAATGGTAAATTAATTTTTTCGATAAGCCTGTTTATTGATATTTATATGTGATGCGGATTTTGGATTATACTTTGTATGTTACGGCGTTATACCAATAGTAGTAAGAGATTTCCAAGAATGAACGAGCGAAGAACAGGCATATATAATACATGAATCTGAGATAATGTTATGGTATCGACTGTTTTAATCCTTTTTATAAACTATTCATAAATATAACAAATATGTAAGATTAATTAATTAAATTTTTCACTTATGCGTCTTTTTTAGTCGTTACTCACTCGGCGAGTGGCAACATACAACATACAAAAACATTGAAGACAACGCCAAAGAGCTGAATTCAGCATCGCAGTTGCGTGCTTATATTGATTTGCTGTTAAAACAGGTGTGCGAGGACATGCAAAATCAAACGGATCGCACCAATGAGGCTTTTGAACGACGCATCGCCGAAATGAAGCATGTTAAGAAATGTTTAGAAGATAAACACAACGATTGTATGACGCATATACACGAGATTCAACGCAACATTCAGCAGTTGGAGAAAGAGCTGACCGATAAGCAACGTTCATTGACCCTCTGTCAGACACGTTTGAGTAATCGTGCACGTCGCCCGGGCCTTGAGCTAACCTGTGACAGTGTGCAGGATGCGCTCTATCATGAAATGGAAGCCTTACAGGCATCAATATGTAAACTGAATCAGAAGATCAATGAAAATAAAGCTTCGTTACGCTATTTGCTACACGTACAGATAATGCAGGAGGAGGAGATCAATATTAAAGCTAACAGTATCAAAATTGACGAAGTTGACTGCATGACCATTAGGCAAGCTCTTAAATATCAATCATTCTAAATTGTAAAGCGATCAAATGCTGTAAAAACTATAGTATTTAATGATATAAATGTAATTTCCATGTTAACTTGTGACATATCCATATACATAAAAACATACATACGAGTAGATACGATATATAAAAACACTGCCATTTATTATGCGTTCTATTTCAAATAAAATTAGCCGCTTTCTCCACTTATTTTTTTTTTATTGAACTCATTATAGGCATAATATTAGCTCACTGTTGAAGTTAAAAGTAATCCCTTTTTCATAACTAAAACGATATGAATTTTTGAAACAGCTGTATATATAATATTATTATTATCTTTATACACCTAGTTTCAAAGCTGAATTTATATATTTTGTTTAAGAAAATTGTAAATGTAATGATCCTTCAAAATCTATCAGCCACTCTGAGGTGACTTGAATCTTGTACTCGTATGTGTCTTTGATAGTATTTAAAATTGTCTATTCTTTTGATATTTTTGTATTCTCTTTGGTTTCTCGTTAGTAATTATACATTGAACAGGATAAGCCATGTCCTCAGTTTTTGAGATATCGATCTGAAATTTTCCAAGCGTTCTTTTCTCCCCAAGAAGCTACACATTTGTTGTAACTGCCAATCAGGATCACTATAGCATATGGCTGCCATACGAACTGTTCAATCAAAATTAAGTCTCTGTATAGAAAACTTGCTTATTTGATAAGGTACCTTCACGAAATTTGGATAGATTATTATCCAAAGCAACACAAAAACCTTCGAACAAATTTTTCAGATCGGCTTACTATAACAAATATAATAACTGCCATACAAGCTGACCGATCAAAATTAAGTACTTGTATGGAAAACTTTATTTGTTAATGTATCTTTACGAATTTTTGCATAAACTATTATCCAAAGCAGTACTACAATTTCCGAATAAATTGTTCAGATCGAACCACTATGGCATATAACTGCATTTAAATATCGATTAACATCAAAATAAAGATCTTTTTTTAATGCCAATTTTTCTAAAAAATATGCACTTGTTACTGTAAAGTAAAAGATAAGCACTATATCTTTCGACTAGTCGATATAGTTACTGTAAAGTAAATCATTCAGATGGAATTTAAAATTATGATATATGGGAATATATGAAAAGGCGTGGGTTGTAGTCTGATTTTGCCCATTTTCACACTGTAACATAAACATGTAATACAAGTATGCGCCAAATTTGGTTGATATTGGTCGAATAGTTCCTGAGATATAGCACTTCAGTTGAAGGTGGGTAGTACCTATCCGATTGTTAGTATTGATACCAGCTCCCATGAATCCTTGTCATACCATATTGATGCTTTCAAACATATAGAGGTGCTGTTGCATATCTACTTCTATTCGCTGATGTAATTATATATTTTTGAGAGCACGAGGTCAACACCGCGTTATACTCGAATCAAATAACTAGATACACGAGGCAACATCCTTTCTCAAGTTTAAAAAAATTAAGTATGAACTGCGCTTGCGTCCAAATATCTTGTTACTCATCCAAC